ACATTTTTAATTTAAAAAGACTTACAAAATTATAGATAATATAGGTATTTATATAATTACAAAGCCTAACGATTAAATGTTTAATATAATTAATAACGAGACGAAAATTATTAAAATATAATAATATGTAAAAACTAATAATATAATTCTGTGCGATATATTTGAAAGCAAGGATCTATACAAAGGCCAACATCGCAATCTTTGCACTCGTACCGCGAATCCGTTCTTTTATCATTTTTGCTACAAATTACACATTTGCGTCTTCTGTATACACTTCATTTCGATGCCGCATATATGCGGCGTCCGTACCCACAGGTCGTCGAGTGGATGCCGCATATATGCGGCGCTCGGCGCGAAAGGGTTAATGGGAAATATTTTGTGCTCATGGCGCGACAGTAGAGGCTTGACTCTTTAAAATGAGCAGAGGTAGAGTGTTGTAAGATTCTTTTATACGAAGTTGCACGAGCTCGAAGCGGACCAATTTTACGGTCATTTGATACGACTAGACCGCGGTTTTTGTGCGTTTATGCGAAAAATGAGTAGCCGTAATTTTAAGGAGAAGAAAAGAGAGAAGAGTTTGGGTTTATCGATGCATTACCTTCGACGTACTCTGTCGTTGTTAACCTTTTAGGCACGACGCGCCACTATAGTGGCTTTCGCGGATATCATCTCTCTGAACGACGCACCACTATAGTGGCTTAATCTAGTAGCTCACTCGGTCATCGTTTGAATCAAATAATCGTCTTCATATGCATTGTTTCACACTTCTTTTGTCTTCGCATCGATTTACAATATACAGACTTATCTTAACAATATAACTGTTAACAATATAACTGTATCTTAACAATATACAAACAGAGAATATACAGACACTCTGTACAGTACATATCAGACTCTGCCGTCCAGAGAAATAGCCTCGCGCAGAATTCAGCCGTACCTAAAAGGTTAAGGAAAAGAAAATGTTCCGAAGCGAGTCTTGATTCTTGATAAATATTGATTTTGCATAAATATCCGCAGTCTAGCGATAACTTAGTGTTGGGGCTATTCGAGCTTCCCAACCCTTTTGCGTTGTCACTGTTTTCTGTTAATACTAAATTAATTTAAAACCCTGAGATTAAATTGTTACGATGGTCCAGTTCGACGATATTTGATGCGCTTCGAGATTAAATTGTTATCTTGCGACATACTATACAATCTCGTTTCTTGAAACCATCGTTTCCTACGATCGATTTCAAGCTGAAATTGAAATCGTCCGTCAAATTGCAACCTTGAACCACGCGCACACACCAGTGCCTCTTCCTTCGGTTTAAAAATGTTTCAGACGCGAAAATGAATCTTGTGCACGAAGTCATCTTCTTTCGAAAGTGAAACAAATTTCGACATTAAGCAACACTCTCCGGACTCGCGTAATCGCTCCTCAACATTCAATTAACCGAAACCACGCTATAAATTGTACGCATTTATAGCATTCGTAATGAAAACAATTTTATTGAAGCAATTCAAGAAATTCATTTACGACCGCCATTAGCGTTGCTCTCGAATCCCGTCGATTCCAAATGGACATGCAATTGAAAAACCAGTTTTTTTCACGAATTCCGATCACCGGCGACCCCCCCCCCCC